AGAAGAGCCTCATGCTGGGAATGATGGAGGGCAAAAGAAGAAAGGGACGGCAGAGAATGAGGGGACTGGATGGAGTCACCGAAGCAGTAGGGATGAGATTAAATAGACTCTGGGGGATGATAGAGGACAGGAAGGCCTGGAGGAACTTTGTCCATGAGGTTGCGATGAGTCGGACACGGAACTAACAACAACAACAAGATTAGATAGGTGATAGATAGATAGATAGATAGATAGATAGATAGATAGATAGATAGATAGATAGATGATATAGATAGAGATAGAGAGATGGATATATGTGTGTATGTGTATACAGTATATATGTATGTATATGTAGATTTGTGTGTATGAGAGTGTGTGAGTGTGTATGAATAATTTATATATGTTTAAATCTGAGAGTGCTTCAGTAGGGAGCAACCTTTATTTTCCTTAAATGTGGATGCTATTTTTAACGGGTGATTCTGGGAAGCGAGCTCTCTAATTCCCTCGTTTCATCTCTCAACAGGTTGGTTTCCCTCCGTCTTCCTAATTGGTGACCCCGCCTTCCACAACCAGGGACACCATGGACAGATGATCTTGGCTCTGCACCGCCATGCTCCAGATGCGTGGCCGCTACCTGCTGCTCTTCCTGGGAGTGCAGCTGGTGGTGATGGCCCTGCTGTACCGCGAGGGCTACCGGAAACGCGTTGCTTATTTCCTAGGCATTTTTTGCAAAGGGGGCACATTTACTATGCTGAACGGCTTCCCCAACGCGTCCCTGCCGGGGGATGTCTATGCCAACCTCAGCCTGATTGCTCGGCCACCTGTGCCCCCCGAGGAACTTCCCTACTGCCCTGAAGTCTCGCCTTTTCTTGGTAAGTGAACCAAAACTCTGCGATAATCGGTTCTCATAACCTTTGGACCTAGAATTTGAGTTTTGTGGCTTAAGTGTGTGGCAAAGAGGAAACGCCAGCTTCCTCGAAAATAAGCATTAGTTCTAGATTCATGATGGCAAACCTGTGGCGTGTATGGTATGTGGAGGCCTCTCTGCCAGCGGCACGCGAGCCCCAGCTGAGCTCCACCAAGCATGCACCGCCGGCCAGCTGATTTTCGGGTCTCTGCAAAACACTATACAAGCCATAGATATACATCTAACAGGAACAGGAAGGGCCTCGCAGGAGCAGATAGAGGTAAATCCTAGAGAGGCAGGAAATGCATCACTGAACAGTGGAGATGAATGCTAGAGAGGAATGAAACGGCATAGAAGGCTGACATAACTCCTGTAATAGCGTAGGCATGCACGAGGCGGGGGGGGGGGCATGCCCCGTTTTTGGGCCCAAGAGGTTTCAGGGAGGCCTGCAAGGCTCAAAATCGAATGGGGGAAGGGGCTACACTTGCATTGTATTATGGGTGTGGGCACACGCGCATGCACTGTCCTGCGGGCAGGCTTTTGGCACGCGAGGACAAACAGGTTCGCCATCACTGTTCTAGACTGTACTCAGGGCTGGCAAGTTTAAAGGTCGCTTTGTTGAAAGAGCAGCAATGGGGTTGGAGAAGAAGAAGAAGGTGGCGGGAGAGGCAGGTAGTGCAGCCAATATGAGAAGACCACGAGAAGCCTGCACAGGAAGAGCCCTGCTGGAATTACTCTTATCAAGGTCTGCCTCAACAGATTCCCTTCTACGTTCTCTGCCTCGGACCCAGGTTATTTTTCAGGCACAGAATAGAATATTGGAAAGCCTTTTTAGGCTTTCCAATATTTTTCCTTTTTAGAAGGAAAAAAGAGCCCAGACGCTCATATGTTGACGCTGGGTCACTCCTTGAGTCTGCTGGTTCAAAGAGAGGATAGGCCCAGGATACCTGAGAGACCACCTACTGCCACCGGTAGCCTCCCACCGTCCATTGTGATCCCACAGAGTTGGCCTCCTCAGCCAGACAGTGTCGGCAAGTGACCCCCAGGGGGAGAGTCTTCTCTGTGGAGCGCCTTTCCTCTGGAATGAGCTGCCCCCGGAGCTTCGTATAATCCCCGACCTCCAGTTCTTCTGACGCGCCCTAAAAAGTTGGCTTTTCCAGCAAGCCAACCTCTCCTGAACAAAACAAGATAAATTATTGATCACTGTTAATTTTAATTCGATTTTTTTTAAAAAAAAAATGTCATTGTCAATTTTAATTGGGTTTGGGATATTCTATTTAAAATTGTTTTAACTTTGGTATTATGTGTTTCTTTTAATGTT